GACTTCCATGATCAGCGGTCAGTGGTGAGCGTCCTGCTCCCTCTGAGTTTCAGCTGATTGAGAAAAGACAAAATAATCAGGGATTTTCTCGACCAACAGACTAAGAAAACTTAAACTGTTCCCTTTCACATTTTCAGGAGGGTTTTTTGGGGGGGGGCCAACTTCTTCCGTACTGTACGACCCCTCGGAGAATCACCACCTTGACACAGTGGAGGATTTGAAAACCTCCTCACTCTGGTAGGGCTACCCAAGGCCCAGAACTCAGAGACCAGGGCCCTCTGCTGCAGCCAGGCTGGAGGGGTTGATTCCCTGTGGCTGGACCGACACAAGGCTGGATGTAAGGGTTGGACCTTGTCTTGCTGAGCCCAGACTATGAAAGTTGGGTCTAAGGACGTCAGCTTTCTGGTGGGGGAGGGAGTTGGTGTGGGAGGTGGAGCAGAACCAACAAGAGTTAGTCGACTTTACCTCTACGCACAAACCAACTGGAACCAAAACTATGGATAGGGTCTGACCGTAGTGGTAAAAGGTTCCCGGTGTGGGGGTACTTGTGAGCCCCCGGCTGAACAACAGGGCCGTCTCTCTGTGACTGAGGGTTTCTAAGGGGAAGGAATCTGTCTGTGGCGGGGAGTCCTAGAGAGCTCGGCGCCTGGGGATTCTACAGTAACATTATTGAGCAACAACTTCAGAATTTGGTCCGGCTTCGCGATACTTTGTGGAAAAAAATAGCTGGCTACTCTAAAAAGTCACATGATTTTGAAAATAGCCATCCCATCCATAAACTACTGGGAATGCAGTTGAACTGGCAGCATGTCATCGTAAGAGATGAAGACACCGAGTTGTTTTGTGTCCTCTATACGTATTGTGGGTGGACAGAATACCAAGAACACATTCCAAATTAATGAAATCTAATATTTAAAACATAAAAATGACAACAAAACGTTTAAGCTTGAAAAAGCGAAGGGAAGTGCTTATTCCAGAACTATTGCTGTGTGTTGGGATGGAAATTTGATATTTTACTGTTTCACCCTGCAGGCTTCATTATTATAGACCAATGTTTCACTGTGTGGTTTTGATCATTCCATTAGGTTGCAGCTAGGTGAAGGTTCCCATGGGAAAGACGCTTAGAGTTTTCTTATCCGACTGTCCTTGTTGGGACTTCATCTTTGGTCCCTTCCTCCCTGAGACAGCTGCGTAATATAAAGTCACCTGTTTCTTCTCTGGCTCTTTGTCTTACACTGCAGAGTGTTTGCACTCTGTCTGTCTGATCCTTTGCAAAGAATAAAACCCTTAAAAAGACGTCTGGACTGAATTCTTTATTTCAGGAGACTCACTAAAGGAAAGAGTCGGCATGTGAGCTGTGTCGGCTGCGTTCAGACCTGCTTGAGCTCTTAAACAGGAAAACCACAGAAACGAAAACCTGCCGCTGAGTCACAGTTTGTGTTTGCGCACTTCTGAAACCTCGCAGCACAATGGTTATCACAAATGAATGAAAGGCTGATAGTAAGAACCATTTGCCCTCATTGCACCAGGAAGTTTAACTTGAGATAATTAGATTGAAAATATAAAATATGCTTTCTAATTTGGTTTAAGTTCCTGGTGGTCTCACACACACGAAGTCAACTATATGTTTTGCTTGTTTGCTTGAGTTTGTTTTCACATTAATCTGCTGTTTCTATCTTTAAGTTGCAGATTTGTACAAAGTACAAAGTACTGAAAAATAAAAGGAACCAGACAGTTGCTGCATTGATTAAACAGGAAGTGTGTTAAATTCATTAAACAGCTGAAACAGGTCTGAAACGCCTCCTGTGTAGACTTGATGGTTCCTTATCTTTTAACGGAGATCCAGAGTGCAAATATTTATCTGACATTTGCAAACTCAGACTTTCTGTAAAAGCATTTTATTTACATGTATTTGTCTTCATGGAGACCAAAAGCTGTGACATTATATCTGAACATCTTTGGACCTGTTTTTGTTCCACAGTGATCAGAATAACCCTCCTCAGACGGGCTGACAGGTTAGTTTTGTTTCCGCCTTCCTGTCCAAACAGGTTGAGTCTTGTTAAGTTTCACAGTTAGTCATCACAGTCTCATTGTTGACTTTCTATTTTTGACAGAGCTGAACACTCACTATGACTGTTTCTACACAGAAGCGAGCTCATAAACCAAGTGTTAACAAGGAATGCATCTTACCACACTGTGATGTTACAGGAACAACGTCCCGGCCAGCCGAGTTTCCCATCCTGCATCCTTTCACCCAGCTCCTCTGACCTCACGAGTAAAGAACAAACACTGCACAGAAAATAGTTACAAGGAACTGAAATAAAGTAGTGGCTTTCTGTCAAACGGTTTATAAAATACTAATTTTAAAAGTTTTCCTTTAAGCCCAGTTAATTTTAATGAGAGCAAAGAGGTCAGAAACTAAAGTCAGAAGTTGCTTCCTTCACTTTCCACCTGAGCTTTCTGCCCAGATTTGCCTTTAATAAGTAACCAGGAAGTGATTCTGCTTTGTGGTAACGCCCATTTTATTCATCAGAGTGAACTGAGATAATATACCATAAATTATAAAGTACAGTTAGTGCATTTTTACTCATTACACATCATTCTTTGGATACTACCATTATGGAAAGCACGATAACTCCCCACCCCTGAAACCAAACCTGGAATTAATGGCATAGAAGAAATTTGCATCGCTACCACATGAAGGTCAGAGTGATCAGGATGGTTGGTGTGTTTGAGACTTTGCAGTAGATGAAATTGAACGTGTTCACCACTTAAAGGGCCGGTGAACACCGTGAATGTGACGTGAGCGACATCTGCTGGTGAAATAGTGCAATCAATGAAAACATTTCCCAAAAGCTGAGACTTCATTTCCTACAGTGTTCAGACGATTGAGTCAAAGGAAGGGAGGATTTAGAGGAGGGTGGAAACAAGGGAAGGAAGCTAGGAGGCAGGACAGGATGCAAAAGGAAGGAGGGTTTAGGGAGGAAAAGGGGGGGGTGGGGTGGGGGGGTAATAGGCTGTTGGGAAGGAAACGATGAGAAATAAAAATTAAGGCGGCGGGAAAAGTGGAAGGGAATGAAACACGAGAGGAAAGAAAAAGGAAAGGTAGGAAAGGAGACGCTGAACATGTTTGTTGAGGCATGTTCAGGTGAAGAGAAAATTCATTTGGACGCCTGCCTGCCAGCTTTAAGCTGTGGTTTTGGGTCTGTCGAAGTGTAACCGAGGCAAAGAGTGACGGGTTCAAACCCCCAAATAGCTAACTAACAGTTGCCGTAGGTTCCCGACAATTAAGATTCAGAGACATGAGTTTCGACTGGAAGGAGGACTTATTTTAATATATGAAAAAATAAATAAAATAAAAAAAAACCAACAGGTTTTTGGGCAATTTCATTCATTACACAAGCTCAAACCACCACCAAGATGTAGATGCCAACGCTGCCAGAAACACTCAAGGATAAAAGCAACCTGAGCATCTACAGAAGCCGGACATGCAGGAAGTTACCTGTGGGCCACCCGGGTGCTTTGACACACTACATACAACTGTCATACACACACCAACACATGCAGTGAAGGGGAAAGGGGCTCCCAAAAGCCACCACCCTGTCCGTCAGGCTGATGAACTGAGGGAAATCATATAGCCAAACAAAACAAAACAAAAAGGGACAATGGCCACCCCCGTAGCAGACCTTATCATCAGCAGGCAAAAACATTCACAGGGCCCATCCACCTGTAACGGTCTCATAAAATAAGATACAGAAGTACAAGCACAAATAGCAGCAGTTGATCAGGCAGGTAAAACAGCAGCAGCTATACAACCCTAAAGTTACAAGAATGTAATTACTTTAGTATTTATTTATTTATTTTTTAACAAACCATACCTGCTAAATACCTTACAGATGATATTTACCTCACAATGCAGTAATTAGTCAACCCAGCTCTGACTCGTTTAGGGCCAAGTCATGTGATCAAAGGCCACCTGTAAACACACAATCTAATAAACCAGCATAGCTCTACTAGATAGCATCTTTTTACCTCAGGGTTATCGACCTCCAGTGCCTCCTCTGCTGTGGACTTTAGCACGACAGGGTCTGGACGACAGGTGGCTTAAAATACCTGTGATGAAAACAAATTAAAACACGTTCACCCGAGTTAACATATTGTCAGCCTTGACGCATGACTTCTAGGAGACCTACCTGCTCCCTGACTGGATCACGATGGCCACAGAGAGATCCTGAGTGCTCCCTGTAAATCACCTGTTAGAGATCCACAGGTGTGCGCCTGCTTCTGGAGAGAGAGGGGGTGGAGCTTCCCTGAGAGGTTGCAGCTGATTGGGGCATTACTAGACCAAAAGCCCGCCTGTCACCCCATCACAGTAAAATGATACTTCCTCGAGTGTCTTGTGTTACTTTACTTTTAGCCTTTGTGAGTTTTCTTTCATGGTTTCTCAAGTGTAGAAAAAGGGAAACT